TTCTGTTACTTTTATCAATAGGAAAGAATATTATAAGATGAAGATTTTGTTGTTAAGTAAGATATAATTAATGCCATTTCTATTGTATCTAACATATTAAAAATGTTCAAAATATTTTCCTTACATAAATTAAGTTACTTAAAAAAGGGATTGATAAAGACATCCAGTGTAGACATTGGATCACCACATGCTTATATTTGGGTGATCACAAAAGCACATACATTTTCAGACACACACACACACAGACAGACACACACACACAGAGATACACACACACTAGTTCTTCCAAATTAAGTTGATTGGATAAGAGATTGCTCTTAAAGTACTCTTAAAGAAACTTATCAATTCAGTGAAACACAACTTTGATGATGAACTTTATTATTGTCTTTTAAAACTATTTTGTCTTGAGTAATTTCCTAGATTAACTCATAATAGATAAACATATAAGACAGTTTACATGGCTAGATCAGATTAAAGGAAATTCAAGTGGAAGTAAAATATTTTCCCCATAATAATCAAATTCCAAAATGTCTCTGTATTAGGTGAAGTAAATTTTTCAATCTGTTAAAATATATTAACCCAAAAAACCTCTATTTTTCAATCTTTGCAGGTTTGATATACCTGCCTTCACCCAGAACTTTTGTGAACTTCCTCGGGAAAGGCACTGAAAGAACTTCAGCTGGACTATGTAGATTTACCTCATTCATTTCCCAATGGCTCTTAAGGTGGGAAGTTTTGATGATCAAACATGTTAGCATAATTGTTAGTTTCATGTTTGGTTAAAAACATATACATATATACATACACATGTATACATGTATATATATGCATATATATGTATACACACATATATATATGCACATATATATGTAAAACGGAACCCTATGACCCAAGAGCATTCCCTACAACTCCAAATTCAAAAAAACATGAATAATTACGTGCTATATGATCTCTGTTGGAGGCTTTGTTCCCAGCCCATCTTTATCTGGAGCATTGCTATTGGTGGGACAAAGCATTGTTTTGAAAGCTACATTAATATTTGTTTCTATTCCACATGGGAGATGATGACTTCCCAATAGATGAACATGGAAACATCATATTGATCATTCTTCAGAGAATACTCAAAGCAATACAAAGAACTGAAGAAAGGAATGACTATACCCAAGATGAAACAGAAAAAAAAAACCTAAATGAAGGTATTATAATTCTGGGAACACAAAATTGGACCAAGAATGCAAACAGAAATTAAAGTGATATAATGGTAATCAATACACATCTTTCAATAATAACTTTAAATATCAATGGCTTGCAACAGATACAGGCTAATTGAATGGATTAAGAAACAAAATCCATCTTTTTGTTGTTTGCAAGAAATTCATTTCACCTTTAAGTGTATGAACTACTTTACGGTGAAAGAATGGAAAAAATCCAAACAAATAGGATAAGAAACAAGTAGAGTTTGGAATTCTAATATCTGACAAGGAGACTCCAAATTAAAATTAATCAGAAGAGATACAGAGGACCACTTCATCCTGATCAAAGGAAAAACTGACCCAAGAAGATAATTTACCAACAAATATTTACACATCAAAATCTGGTGTGCCCAATTTCACAAACCAGTACCATATAACTTTAAGACACAGATTAATCCTAATTCAGTAATAGTAGGGAACTTCAGTACCCCACTATATCCAATAGACAGTTCAACCAGGCAAAGAATAAAAGACATCTGAATTAAATGAAACCATGCATCAAATGGACCTAACAGACATCTATTGAATATTCTACCTAAGCACCAAAGAATACACTTTCTACTAAGTACTCCATGGTTTGTCTAAAATTGATGACATACTGGGGCACAAAGGAAACTTAAAAAATTTTGAAAAATTTGAAATAATTTCATGCATTCTATCAGTCCATAATACAATAAAGCTTAAAATCAATGCTAAAAGAAGCTCTAGTAACTACATGAACTCATGGAGATTAAACAGCACACACCTGAGTGATGAATAGATCAAAGAAGTAATTAGAAAAGAAATAAAAGTATTCCTGTAAGTAAATCAAAAGGATTATATAACTCAACAAAACCCATGGGACACTTTAATACCAGTCTTAACAAGGAAGTTTATAGCTCTAAGTGCCTACATTAAAAAATCAGAAAGAGCACAATAAATGACTAAACATGGCAACCCAAGACTCTGCAAAGGCAAGAACAAATGAAGCCCAAACCAAGACGAGAAGAAACAACAAAAATCAGAGCGTAAATTAATGAAATATAGTCAAATACAATAATACAAATCAATGAATCTAAATTAAATTTGAAACCTAAAAGATATGGATGAATATATAAAATCAGGGAACAACCAAAGTTTAACCAAAAAGAGATCAATAGCTTATACAGACCCTAAAACATTCTGACTAAAAAAAGCCCAGGCCCAGATGGATTCTCAGCAGAATTCTACCAGACATTTAAAGACGATCTACAACGAATACTACTTAAATTATTTAAAAAGATAGAAACAGAGGGAGAACTGCCAAACTCCTTATTTGAAGCCACCATCACTCTAATACCCCAAACCAGAGAAACACATAAACAAAAAAGAAAGATTCACCAGAAGGGCAAGTAGTGGGGAATGGCTGGTGGGCGGGGGGGGGGGGCAACCACACAGCAGACAGTAGCAGGAATATCAGCGTATAAGGGCTCTAGTGGGGGAGGGAGGCTATGGGAGGGTGCCATCTGGGAAGTGGGTGTATAGTTGAATAAGTTGGTTTGGGGTGTTCTGTGTGATATACACAAACACAAAAAAATCAACAAATTTTAAAAAATGTGTTATATTTGAGGAGGAAGCATGAAAATTTATGTTATGTTAGTAGAGGTGATAAACATTACCATTGAAATCTAACTGATGACTTTATAAACATACACAGTCACCAAGGATCCAGGTACAACCAATGATGACTAGTAATAATCAGATACATACAGATTACAGATGCATGCCCCAATATCTCAGTGTTAGTAGCAAAAACAATGAGTCTTTCTACAAGGAACAATATATTCCAAAATGAAATGGAGATCATTTTTAAAGGTTAAAAACTCATTCAATTTTATGTCTTACAGGGCTTATACTGAGTTTAATATTGTATAACTGTATTAATTAAACTGTAAACCTAGAAACAGCCGCTTGTGAAAGAGATGTACTCGTGCTCTGGAGTGTATTACTGAATATTTCAAAGCTGTAATGGAATGCTTCTTCTAATCAAGTAGTTATTTAAAAAAATTTTTTTAATTTACTTCATGTTAAATAGTAGAGATGATAAACATTACCAGTGAACTCTACCTGATGATTTTATATCCATACTCAGATACTAAGGATCCAAGTGTAACCAACTGTGGCTAGTGATAATCAGATACATAGAGATTAAAGACACATGTGCAAACATGTAGGCATTAGTAGCATCAAAAATGTAGGAAACAGCATATCTTAAAATGAAATGGTGATCTTCTTTAAAGGGTAAAAACTCATTTAATTTTATTTCTTACAGGGTTTATACTGAGTTCAATATTGTATGAATGTATTAATTCAACTGTGAACCTAAAAATTAACAGCCCCCTTTGAAAGAGATGTATCCTTGCTCTGGAATGTGTTACTGAATGTGTTAAAGCTGTAATGAAATGCTTCTTCCAATCACATGGTTATTAAATTTTAAAAAATTTAAAAAAGAAAGCTGTAGACCTATATCCTTAATGAACATAGATGCAAAAATTCTCAACAAAATACTCGAAAACCTTATACAGACACACATCAAAAAGATCATCCACTATCATCAAGTTTCTTTCTTCCAGAGATGTAGGAATGGATCATATACTTAAGTCAGCAAACATTATAACTCATATAAATGGACTCAAACCACATGGTCATCTCAACAGATGCAGAAAAAGCCTTTGGCAAAATTCAGAATGCATTTACATTAAAAGTCATAGAGGGAAGTGGACTAGAGGGAGCATACTTCAACCAAATTAAAGTTACATACAGCCAACCCACAGTCAACAATCATTCTAAAGGGAGAACAACTGGAAGCATTCCCATTAAAATCAGGAACCAGATGAGACTGTCCACTATCTCCACTCCTTTCCAATATAGTGTTTGAATCTCTTGCACTAGCAATAAGACAAGAGAAGGAAATGAAGGAGAACTAATACACTTGAGAGACCCCCAAAATTCCACTAGAAAACTCTTAGGAATGATTACCACTTTCAGCAGAGTGGCAGGGTGCTATCTGGGAAGTGGGTATAAAAATAAATAAATTATAAAAAAAGAAATAAAAAGATAATCAGGAAAAACAATACCAAGAAATTGTAAAAAAATGAAAAGAAAGAAAAATAATAATAGAGGACAGGGGTAGTAGGTTGGAGGTGGAGATGAGGGAGAGTGTCTGAATGTGATCAAAATACATTGTAGGGAATTTTCAAAGAATCAATAAAACTTTTTAAAGATTGAAAAAAATAATCTACAAAAATCACTAACTTTCTATAAGCAATCAGGGAAAAAGTACATGGAAACCCTTCCATTGATAATAGCCTCAAAAAACATCCAGGAATAAATCTGACCAAAGACTTTAAAGAGTATTCAATGAAAATTTTAAACCTTTTAAGAAGGAGATTGAGGAAGACACCAAGAGATTGAAGGACCGCCCATTCTCATAGTTTGGATGAATTAATATTGTAAAAAGGGCCATCTTATAAAAAAGCAATATATAGATTCAATGAAACTCCAATCAATATTCTCATGACATTCTTCACAGAATTAGAAAAATTCATCCTAAAATTCATGTGGAGTCACAAATGATCCCAGATAGCCAAAGCAATCCTGAGCACAAGGAGCAATGCTGGTGGATTACCATACCAAATCTCAAACTATATTACAGAACTATAGTCACAAAAATAAGATAGTACTGGCAGAAAAACAGACCCATGGAACATAACTGAAGACTCAAACCTGAGTGAATGCAACTTCAGCACCTGATATTTAACAAAAGTACCAAGAACTCACAGCGGAGGAAAGACAGCATCTTCAACAAACGGTGCTGGCAAAATTGGATCTCTGCTTGTAGAAGATTAAAACTAGATCCTTATCTTTCACCTTGCACAAAAGTCAACTCCAAATGGATCAAAGACCTCAATGTGAAGCCTGAAACTCTGAAGTTGTTAGAAGAAAACAGGTAGTGTCCTACAAGATGTAGGTGTGGGAAAGGAATTTCTAAATCGGACATTGGTTGCTCAAGAATTAAGATCAACAATCAGCTAGTGGGGCCTCATTAAGCTGAAAAGCAGCGTACAACAAAAGAAATAACCAAGGAAATGAAGAAAAGACCCACAGAGTGGGAGAAAAATCTTCAACAGTGATATATCTGACAGAGGTCTAACATCTAGAATATGAAAAAATTAAAAACAAAAAAACCCCAAAAAATCAAGACAACAAATGACCCAATTAAAGATGGGCTAAGGATCTAAATAGATGGTTTTCAAAGGAAGAAATAAAAAGAACTAAGACACATCCTTAAAAGTGTTCAGCATCATTAGTAATTAGTGAAATGGAAATTCAAAGCATTTTAAGATTTCATCTTACCCAAGTCAGACTGGCTAAGATCAAGAGAACAAATGATGCCAAGTGCTGGAGAGGATGTAGGGGAAGGGGATGCTCATCCACTGCTGGTGGGATTGTCATCTTTTGCAACCTCTATGGAAAATGGTGTGGAGAGCTCTTAAAAAAAAAATAAACCTACCATTTGACCTGTTATACCACTCCATGGCATATACCCAAAGGACTCATTCTATTGCAGAGATACTTGTATATTCGTGTTTGTTGCTGGTTTTTTCACATTAACTTGACATGATAGGCCTTAATATAAATGACAGAATACATGTAATCCAGAGGGGATGGTGGGGTCTATAGTAGAGTGTCAGTGGGGAAGAGGGTATAAAGATGATTAAGATGTGAATTAAATATACAAAACTCAATAAGAAAGAATTTCTTGTCTTACATATCAAGATTTTTTCTTTTGTGTATGACTGGAGTTATGCTGCCCTGTGTGGAACACATGCATAGTCTTCTCCATCATCTTCAAAAACAACATTGCTTTTCCTTCCTAGTTTATAAGTTCTATCAGAATTGTTGTTATTATAGTTTTGAATATCAACCAAAACGTACTTAAAAATTTTGAATTATGTCAGAATTTACTTTTAATGAGTCCACTTCTGTCCTCTCTCCGTTTGTAAATGAACTTACTTTTACATAATGTTTTAACTACCTGGAATTGAGTTTAGCTGCCCAGGAAAATTTCCACAACTTCCACTCTTAAACACATGGTTGTTATTCTTTTATGTTATTTTACATTGCACTATTTTCCCAGGAGGGATATTATTATTATTATCATCATCATCATCGTCATCATCATCATCATCATTAATTATTGTTTCTTGTGGTGTTACTGAGACCTGACAGAAAGCATCCTGAGTAATAGTTACAAGCCAAAGGTATTTTCTGCAGTTTTGGTCAGTGAGTTTGTTTTTGTGAATGTTGTGTTTCTTTGGTTGTGGTTTATTTTGAGGTTGTTTGTTGCCTGCTTTGGTTTTGAGGCTGACTGGCCTCAAACTTGCTCTGCAGTTGAAGATGAGTTGGAACTTCTGGTTCATGTGCTGCTACCTTCCATGTGCTAGGATTACAGGCATGTGTCACCGCTCCTGGTTTATCTTGAATATTTATGGATTTTTCTATCACTAGGTTAAAATCAAATTGCCAACTTCATCCTAGAGTGTTCAGGCATTTGTTTATTAGTGAATTAAAATATTCTTTATTTTGGAGACAAAAATTTTTATACTCAAGAATTTTGAATATTCTTTTGATATTTTCATAGAAAACACACAAGTTTTGTAGGTTTTCATATTTTTTTGTTTTAATTAGTTTCAAATATATGGGCTAATTCTGTAATCAGTGTCTGTCATTTAAATACATCAGTCGGTATAACTGATATTTTTTATCCTCTCTATCATTGTTTCCTGGTATTGTTTTGTTTTTGAATCAATACTAGTGAGACCATTCTGTTGGTAATCAAACTGCCCAAGTTTTATAAAAGGTGATCTGGAAGCCAATTCTTAGCTTTTTAAAGTAATTCATCATTAATATTTGTAGAATGCATGCTTAAATTCTATTCAAAATGACCTTTTCATATTTTAATTGCTCCTTGTTCAGACACAGAAATGAAACTGCGTCTCTCCCAAGAACTGAATTGTGTTACACATTTAAACAAATGTGCTTCTGTGTTAGACCTTCCAGGTACATGATGTCTTCTGTGAATGGTGTTAGGCCTGTTTCTTCATCACCGCCTTTTTTCTCCTTTACTCGGAATGGATAAAGTGCTTCCCATTTGTGCGATAGGTTTTTGAGTTTCAGTTAACTTCAGAGGATACAAAAATCCTTGGGTTGAATAGAAACCTGCACATTTGTAATCTGGTCATTTGTAAGTAACTTTAATGTACGTGTTATACTCAATTTTCTCAATCAGAGCGCTTTTCAAATTAATTCAATAAATAAAAAGAAAGCAGAAGCAAGTGTGAGAGGGCCCAGGGTAGGTTGATCTGCTGCATCTGCATATCTGTACTGTGTCAAGGAGTGTGCTGTACCGAGTCAGCATCACCACTAAATCTACATCTTCCTGTCAGCCTCAGGATCTGTATATCCTGTAGCTATACACACTGTGGGCATGTCAACAAGCCTGTTGAAACTTTCCAGTACAAATGCCATATCACAGCCCTATGTAATTACTGATGATTTAGATGCACACCATTATCTTTGTGGTCTTTGTCATCTATTGCATAAGAAAGTATCCAGGCCTCTGGGAACTTGCTCATATGAACTAAGCAATGGTGACAGCATGCACAAGACCCATGCAAACTCAATCAGACAAAAACCCAGCATAGAACTGGGGAAATGGGCAGCAGGCCCCAACCTCAGCTGAAGAACTGTTGGTAGGTGATTACTGCTGGGTGAGGGAAAGTTGATCTTCTTTAAGGGAGAGAACAGATAGGCTGACTGGACTCTAGTGGATGAACTTGTACTGAGGGACATCTGGGTACACAAACTTGACTTGATAGGCTTTAACATATATCACAGAATGTATGAAATCCACCTTGGAGATATGGAGGGTGTGGATGGGGGATGGGGTGTAAAGATGATTAAGATGTTTTGTTTGAAATGTACAAAAAATTAAATAAAAATATACAGAAGGAAATTGTCCATTGAATTAAAGCAATTTGATGCCTTTAATAGTTTGATTTTTTTTTACTTCCTCCATGCTTTTGTTTAGAGACTAAACACTTTACTAATTTTGAAAACTGATGGTTTGATGGGTTCAATAAAACACCAGGTATTGATCTTCTGAATTATAGAGAGGTCAACGCGGAGGATTAAGAAGTTAGAGAAAAGGCAACGGATGGCTCAATAATTAAAGCACTTGTCTTGCAAGTGTACAGACCTCAGTTTTAGTCCTAGAACCCACATTCAAAAGGTGCATTTGGTGGTGTGTGCTTTTAAACCTAACGTTCTGGAGGTGGAGACAGGCAGGCCCTGGGGTCTTGCAGGCCTGCCATCCTATTCTGACTTGTGAGTACCAGACCATTGAGAGACCCACCTTCACAGGAGGCTGATATATTCTGAGGATGACACCTGAGGGGTTCCTCTGGTTTCCACATGCACATTTGCACTTATGTATTTGCAGAGAGAGAGAGAGAGAGAGAGAGAGAGAGAGAGAGAGAGAGAGAGATACACAAA